TGGCCGCCGCGAATTCAGACTGTTTGACATTTTCGTGCGCTCTTTCGTCGAAGATAACTTACCTTTTGAGACTTGTAAAAATTCCACTGCTGCCGCCGCGTCGCGCGACAATAAACCGCGTATCTTAATTCCAATCCGAAGACGTACGGTTCGAGCGGTTACTAAAAAAAAAAGGAGCCGGTGTTTGAGATGCTCATGAAAAAAGAAATTTTCTGCGTCAAATAATTTGAGCTACAAAACAGCAGAGCCCTTTTTAGACTATTTTATTACATAATTGCGTAAATTAACGATAGGAAAACGACACATTGAAATAAATTACGAAAGCGTTATGTCAAAATAAATAATATAATTTAATAAATAACAACCGTTTTATCGCAGACGAATAAGCGGGTTACATGGGAAAGTGCACGATCAAAAATGCAAATGTCGCACTGATCTACTTCCCCCAATCCGCTTTATATATATATATATATATAATGTAACGAAATAAATTTAATGAACGTATACTTTCTCCACTTTATGAAAACTTTCGGTTGTCACCGAAAACAAATTGCTCTCATTATTCATGTTCTTATGCAGCAAACAATTACATTCCGAGAGCTCCTCTTCCACAATATTTAAGTAGAACGACACTGTCCTTCGCAGTAACGTAATAGTGACATTGAGATTATACAGCACCGGTTATATCATTGCATAAGTAACAATAGCCTTGAGATAAGACGGAGCTTAGAGCTTAAAAAGTCGCTGGAGTCACATTTGTCACGTCGTAAGCGCTTGTCAACATTCAAAATTCTCCAAATCAAAATGGCGTAACGTTTTTTTCTTTTACTCAAAATTGCACGGGTGCACACCATGAGCTAAAGGATCTCCGTATTACTTCTGAAACTTGGCGTCTCTTTAACATTTTTACACCGGCGCTTCCGTCACTTTCCGTTCGAAGGAAATAACCCTCGGACCACGCCTGGCATTCGCCAATTGCTTCTTCCCCGTCGAGCACGATAATCCCCGAGTCTTACAAAAAGAAATACTCGCCGCCTCCGTCGCGTCGTATTTTGAGACGAACGATAAAGCGTCATAAGCCGCGGAACTAAAATGAGGCATGTGCAGCGAGATAAGCAAGAAAATGGGCAGGAGAAAAGAATAACGAGGAACGGACGGCGTTCCTTGAGTGCCCGCTCGGTCCTGGAGTGCGTCGTTGACACAAGCAGAACTTTCATCTACAAGGCAAATGTGTGGAAGCACAATTCCGTTTTCGTTCTCTTCCACGTTATTCAAATAGAGCGCGGCCTTCGTCACGCAATGGCGTAGTGGAACTGTACACCGATATATTAGTTCGTTAAATGCTTATAACTCACTTATTGAACGATTTCTCAATACACGTAGACACTTTGTGAAATATCGTAAGAACGGGAGCGGCACGCACTTCGCTCGAGTTTTCGCGCATC